ATTTTATTCCTGGGAATATTTCAGCGACAAAGATTTTGTTTTTGGTTTTGAAGGAGTATATATTGGAATTCATCGAAGATTTTGAGTTTTACTGCCTAAAGATGGGGCACGAATTCATTCTGTTGGAAGAGAACTAGATCCCTGCTAACAGACTTCTCTGATAATTTGAAGTTTATTTCTTTTAGTCGCCATATTTTCGCAACTTTACTGGAAAGGTGGCAGAGGTTGGCAAAAATCGGTTTGAAGTTTCTGGTTCTGCTTCAGTTTTACCATTGTCAAGAAAAAATTCCTCTACAGTTGAGGTAAGAAATGTAACGTTAATGCTAGCAGGTTTTTTAAATGCTGAAAAGTATTAGGTGGCTTAACTGTAGGATTTATGCAGGTAAAAATTGGTGAACTTCCAATCTGGGTTTGGACGCAGAAGTATAAGGAGCGAGTCTTGAAGCCTTTAACGAAATCTGGTTCACTGTTGTAAACACGTTTTTAGTACTTTAATTGTTATGCTTTACGCTTATTTAATTATTGTAATTCTGGTACTCGTGACTTAAACTTTTCGACGTTTAATTGAGCTGGCTTTCAGAAGTTTTACTGAGAGGCATACGGAGGATACAGTTTCCTTTATCCTAAAATTTGGTCGAAAAGATATTTCGCAGTATGTGCAGGAAAGCTTCCTACTGAACAAATTAAAACTTGTTGAGAGCATTTCTTGCGGTTCCATGGTAAAAATTCAATGATAGAAACTTTTTTTTTGTAACGCTTGGTTCCTTCTGTGAGACGTTGTTAAAGCTTTTTGAGCGAAGGTTCATTTTACGATGAAATGTTTTAGATTCTTCTGAAAAGTTTGCTGGCAGAAGCTTGCTGATTTTTGGAGTAAGTTGATGATTGTGATATATTTATTCTTTTCAGGTTGCATTTGACGCAGAAAATGTTTTACGTTCTTTTGCTCATGTTGAAGAAATCTTTGAAGTCTTTTTTCAAGCTAGGAAGCACATATATGAAAGAAGGAGAGAAAGTCAGATAGGATACATGCAGCGTAAAAATGAATATATTCAGAATCAGGTTCATATTGGCTTTGATCATTTCTAACATTTTTTCCAAAGTTGGTATATTGTGCTGCTTTTTTAGTTGAATTTTGTCGAAAGCATCGTTAAAGGTGCTTTAAAACTTGAGCGTAAGTCCAAATGCGATATCATTGAAGAACTGGTGTCTCGCGGCTTCAAGTCTAACCCACTGCGTGAGAAATCCAGTGTAATCTTTTCAAAAATTTCAATATTTTTAAACTGTTCACCCCTGAGTCATAGTAGATGACAACACTTCAGCCATTATCCAGGCTTGAATTTTTTGTCATTTTTTCTCCACTTATGCATTGCTTTTAACTTTTGAATAGGACTAAATGAAAATTAAGGTTTTAGGTAATCTTAAGGAAAAACTTTTTTGTTTCAGAAAAACAATGAGCCAGCAGACTTTGATTTTAATTATTTATTGGGAATACCACTTATAAAATTATCAAGTGAAGAAATCATTAACTTAGTCGAAGCGGCTGCCACTGCGAAAAAGCAGCTTCAAGGAATATTAGAGTTGGACTGGAAGAAGTTGTGGCTTGAAGATCTTGACACGCTAGAACGGGTGAATTCCCAGCGTTTCCATTCATTCTGATTTTACCTTCTTTTTCATTTCAGAGGAGTATCATTGAAAAGTTTTTGCAGGCACTCACTGCAAAAAAAGCGTCATGATATTTGATGAGTCGTCCGGAATGGGCAAAAAATATGTTTTCTTGATGTGACTTCCTTTTCAACTTCGCTTGACGCCCCTTCCAATTTCCTGGTAACCATGCAATTTCACTGGTATTCCAATTCCATCTGTTTTTTAAGTTTTATGTTATTAAAATATTTTCTTGTGCTTAGAAGAATGCAATTTGCTTCAAGAATGTGATTTATTGGTGGCGTGTAACCACACTTTTGTCTTATTTTTGATGACTTCTATTTAAATCAGCTGTTGTATGTTTCTCACGGTACGGTAAATGGTTTTGAGATTGATCCCTTTTATTGACGAACATTTGGGATCTTCGTTTTTAATGTTGTAGACGCAGAGCATTCTTTTGACAAATTCTTATGCAGTTCTTAAGCGGTGAGAATAACTCAAAAGGAAAGTTTCTTCCATACTATTTTAGACACTTTATACTAGTTGGAATGATGAAGCGGAAAGGAAGGAACTTGAGGGAGAATTAGTTTTGGGTACTGAGTTCTGTTCAAGCACAGGAAAGCTCTTCATTACATGTGTAAAATTCAATGTTGTAAAATTCTGAATATTGTTATTTATATGAAATGTGCTTGTTGTGACATTGAAGAAATGTTGTACGAGGGTAGTGTCACAGATCAACTTAAAATTGCTTAAATTACATGAGTCCTGCCTGTGTTTGTTGCTTTATTGTGAGCTGCGTGGGCGTATTTGGAAGATTATTGGAGGCTAAAATAAGTAACTGTCGAACTACGTATTATGGTGCGTTTTTGAATAATTTTCAAACTTCAGTGAGAACTTTTGTAATAATGGCTTATCAGGGAGAAGTCGTTTGTTACTGAAAAAGAATGAAAAGCTAGTAGGGCAGCTCTGTCGGTCCTAATGATTTAACGATCTGCGGGAGTGTTAGGCAAGCTTAATTACTGTAGGGCTCTTTTTTAAGGGATTTTTTCTAAAGGTGCAGAATGCAAACAGTAAAGATGCAACGTCAAATTTTGATCTGGAGCTTGTGCTTATTAGGCTGAAAAAAGACTCTGGTTCTTGATTTGCAGTTGCCCTTATGTGCCGTCAAAATATGTCTTCTTTAAACTGCTTGAATTCAGAAAGGATATCCTTTTTGATGGAATTTTTAAAATGTAGGATTTCAAGAGTTTATTGGGATGTTATGGTTGACAAAATGGACGAATGATTGCATTTGTCTGTTGTGTAAAAGCTGCCAAAGGGAAAATTCATTTGTAGCTGGAGAAACATCTAGTTTTTATAGTTGGGATTTATAATCAGGTTTGATTGTCAGTAATTCCCAAAGTTGGGGATTTAAATTGGAGGATAAAGCTTATTTTGGAAAAGCAAATTCGCAGAAGAAAGAGGTTCAAGGGTTTCATTTGGGAAGGGGCCTGTCGCGACCAACCGATAAGTCTTTAGTGCGAAGGACCGTTTGCTGCAGCGCGTCTCTTGAACCTTGAGAAGCGGTTTTTGCTCAATATAGCTATTCACTTTGATTAGCAATTAGCTACTTGCTGGCTCGCAGTGCAGTACCAACCAGTTTTCGAATGCTACTATGACTTTGACAGAGGACTTTAGGTGCTGAACCTGCATTATTATTGCTTTGGAAATGAACCTTCAAAAGGCGCCTTTCTCTTGTGAAGAAAAGACGTTTTTAAAAAACTAATGTTCTCAAGTTGATGCTATGTTCTTGTACCGGCGTCGAGCGACCTGGCCTAAATCCAAGACAACATCGTGAAAGCTGGTTAGTGAGTGATCTTGAAGAGTTGTTGTCCTTTGGCATATGATGAGAGAAAACAAGCATTTTGAAATGCTGGTCAAGTAGTTGTGAAATTTTACTGAACAGACGGCGACTGTTAAAGGAGTGGATGAATCTTGGGAAATTCATAAAATGAAGAAACGAGAGCTGCATCCGCCGCCAGCGTTCACATATTGAAACCAGACGTCACTTGTCATGCTTTTTGAAAAAGTTTCTTGTGGTGGGACGGAATAAGATGTGGATTTGTTTTCACAGTATGGAAGTGATGGGATTCCGGGTGGTTTTAGGGACAACTTAGAAATCATCCCAGGATGCAGTACCAATAAAAATATGCATCTGCTACGACAAGAAGGTTTTCGGATTCTGAACCTTCAAAAAGGAGTTCAAAAAAAGAGCGAGACATGATCATAGAGACGCAAAGGTATACGTTCGGGAAAGGAATAAAGAAGTTTTCGAAGAGCATGATCGTGCGCGTTATTACTTTATCAGTAGTTCGGGTGCTGCGCTTTCGAGCTGGTACATGTTGAAATAGAAAAAACCTCCTAGGAAACTGAAGAAGCTTGAGCTATGGCGCACCAAGGAAAATAGAGCCTTTTCCTCATTTGACTTTATTAACCAGCGGAAGGTTTCCATTACTGATGACACGCAGGGCACTTTACTTCCAGTCTATCACTAAAGATCCAGCCAACACGAAGTGCCTGTCTGTTGGGGCACACTAGAAACCGAAAACAATTACAACTTTGTAACGGTTGCCATTTTCTTCAGTAATTCTTTCTGAAAACTTAGAATAGTGACTAGAACGTTCTAAAGACCAACTAATCTAATCAAATTGGGAGATACTCATTCGTTTTTCTAGGGTTACGCCAATTTTTATTCTGCTTTATGTATTTTTAGGAGTGTTTAGGACTTTGCGATACTTTGTTCACATGGGGTGATTTACAGGTGTTGGTAATGATAGAACTGAGTCTTTGTGAAAGAAAGCAAATGATCCCAACGAAGCGATCAATTTGATGAAATGGACATTACTCGGTTGCTGTTTTAAGGAACCGTGGTAAGCAAAAAAATAAGGACTAGTCAAGTTGCAGTCAGGCTTGTAACGGTAATATTGTTGGCTTCTGCCATTAAGTAACACAAACCTTTTTTCCTCTTTCCCGACAAGAAAGTCGCTGCAGCTCCTTTTGACACAGATACGTCGTGAGGAAACTTAAAGGCTGCCGCTTAACGGTCACCAATGTCGCAGGCGTAAATTGTTTTTAATTATCCTTGCAGTGGTCGCCCCAGCCTCTTGAAGCTTCTTGAAGCAGCTTGCGAAACACATGCGTAGAGGACTGATTTATAAATTGAGTTTGGTGCTTCATGGAAGAAAATAGTGCATAATATGGATTAAGAACTTAAAATTGATGCAGTATGTTAGCTTTCAAAAAAGAGTTTTTTACCATAACGTTCGCACATTCATCATTCAGACTCCAAAACTTTATTGGATAAAACTGATAGTCGAATGAAGATAGTTGCGACATTTCTGCTTTTCCTCCTAGGACTATTTCATCCACAAAGTACTTTTGGTGAATGCGTTCCTGTCCAGCAGTGGATTGCGTGATTGCCTTCAGCTTTCAGTCTTAATTCAGGCAGAATCGTAGAATAGGGTACAGTAATGTATTAATTATCATCCATCTTGCTTACTTACAAAGTTTACTGATCCGGTGTACTTTGCTGCTCGCTAAAGAGGAAGTTCGATGCAACTAAGAAAATGTTGAAGTAAATATTATTTTAAATGTGTCACTGGGGATGACTTTTCAGAAGGTGAGTTCAGAAAAACGTTTCCAGTGTTTCCTGAGCCAGTCAAATCGGTGTGTAGATATTTAAGTCCCCTACGGTTTTAACTAACCTACTATTCTTCGTACCCAAGCTGATACGCTGTTGTTAAGACGGGCTAGTTTGTGGTAATTGATGTCATTTATTGGTGGAATTCCAATTTCTCATTTGATGTTAAATATAATTGAAATTTATAGGCTGCTCTTGAAACAAAGACTCTGGATAGATGGAAAGCTTTTAAGATTCGCAGCTATCTCTCAAAAAATACAGACCAGCACAAAGGAGACGGAACATAACTCCTAATTGGGCTAGAATGTGCAGTATTACGTTCTTCTAGTATTTTAGTTACGCTTCTCCCCAAAATGAAATTTCTGTATGGATGAAAACTATAACAGAACCGTATCTAAATCAAGCTTCATTCTCCAAAATTGTGATCCTTTTAGCAGTTCACATTCACGGGGATTCCACAACAGGCTGCAAATGAAAAGCTTCATATGTGTGGTCTATTCCATGCTAAATCGCACACTTTTTTCCGTCGTATCTCAGATTTTTTTTTTAAATTTTGCATATTAGTAGAGCCCAGGATATTATGCAGAAAGCCGAAAAGAAACCTGGAAGAGTGAATGCCTTCCCAAGTTACATTCCCTCAAAGTTACGGTATTTGCCAGGTTGCCAATTGACATACCTATCTTTGCAGATTTGTAACTTACCCTCTCCTAAGAATTTAGCAGTTTTTCATTTATTAGATTTCTCATGACCTGAATTTTCAAATGCATATTAAATGTTTTAAGACAGATAAAAAATCACACAGATATAGTGAAAGAAGTATTTCAAACAAACGCAGAAAAAAAATTGTGTCTTTAAATTTTTCAGAAAAGACATATTTTGTGTAGGATTTTTTGCTCTACAACGTATCTGATTTTGATGATGGCGATTTGTCGGTATCAAGGGCTACGAGCCGGAACGGGATGTAAAACTGGGAAAAATCTGCTGTTTTTACAGTAATCTTATGTATTTTACATGAGGAAAAGCCGTGAACCGCTTCTTGAAGACACAGACACCTGCTATAAAAATCCGGTGTGCTTTAATTGATGAAAGTTTGTTACGAAAGTTGTGTTTTACTGCAAAATATTAACAAATTATTATTCTGCGTGTGTCATTCCAATGCCTTCTGCTTCTTGTACTTTATTTTGTTAAAATATGTAGTTAGTATACAATTTGGCGTCGCAAAGAAGTCTAAAAACCTGCTGTTTCACTTGATTAGCCGCTGGATTAAGTTTTACTTCACACTTTCTATTTTTCTGGAGTACCGCAGCAAAAAGTTCATAATAAGAACAACAATTTGAGCTTGTACAACCAAAACTTTGACAAATACAATATGGATATAATTTTAAGAATCTAGAAACTGCAAAGTAAGAGAAGCGGAAGGCAACAGGATGAAAAGTCCTTCTTATAACCCTGCAGTGCAATTATCTATTAGTATTCCGAAGTAAACTACAAACTTTTGTAACAACATTCCAACGTTTAAAGCATACTAGATTTTTATAGCAGGTACCTGCGGCTTTCAGAAGCGGCTCAGGACGAATTCGCCATGTAAAATATATGGGATTCCTGTAAAAAAAGCAGGTTTTTTCTGGTTTTACATTTCATTCCGTCTCGCAGCTCTTGATACCGACAAATCGCCATCATCAAAATCAGATATGTTGTAGAGCAAAAAATCATATACAAAATATGTTTTTTCTGAAAAATTTAAAAACACAATTTTTTTTCTGCGTTTGTTTGAAATATTTCTTTTACTATATCTGTGTGATTTTTTATCTGTGTCAAAACATTTAATATGCATTTGAAAATTCAGGACACGAGAAATCTAATAGATGAAAAACTGCTAAATTCTTAAGGGAGGGTTAGTTACAAGTCTGCAAAGATAGGTATGTCAAGTAATAACTCGGCAAATTTTGTAACTTTGAGGGAATGTAACTTGCTGGGGAATTCAC